CTGTAAAATATGTGATCAATTAACATTTAAATTTATAAAGCTAATGTCCATCACTTTGTTTATTGATTACACCACCTTTTTGCTTTGACCAATATTTATATTTCACTGAATTTAAAATTATTCTTCTTCTATAATGTGCCTCATCTCCATTTTCCAGCAAAAAAGAGAAATGGAGACCAATATTGAAGAATGAGTGACTGTATTGTATTAAGTCTAAAAAGTACCCTGAGAAATAGAAGGCTCTGTACCAAAGAGGAATGCTGTCCTTCTTGACAGCAGCTAAGTCATTGCTCATTAGTAGCTTTTAACACATAATTCCAAGAGTGACACAGATTTTTCAAGGGTCACTTAGTCTCCTGAAATTTAGTCAGATCTAAATTTAATGCATACCAGTTCACAAGCAGAACAAACTGAATGGCCAGTGTAGCAAAGCTCTTTTTCTCCTCAGCTCTTTGACTCCTTTGTGTGGACACTTAGCATTGCCTAGTAGTTGTGGCTTGTCTTGCTCTGTTTCTTTTTCCTTCATTCATAAAACACAAAGAACAAGTTTACTGGTACACTAGAATTGAAATCAAACTAAGATCTTCAGACTTAAAAAGGGGTGACTTATATCACATCTCGTATTTATTTGCCCCAGGAAGGCAAAACCAGCAGGTTGTTGTTAACCCTTCTACTTGGTAATGCTACTTGCATAGAGAGATCTTTCACAGCAAACTACTAGGGAGCATTTTTCTCTTTACCCAAGAGTGGTACCTTGGCATTAGTCCCACAGAGAATTGGCTGTGACAGCCTTCTGCAAGCTGAATGAATAATTATTCCCCTATGAGTGAGCTAAAGAAATAGTTTGAAGGTGTTAAAAGCCTTCTGACATTTGGACCATTTGCACTACAAAAACAATGACACAAAAGCTTCATTAAAATCCAGTGCATATCTACAGACCCATGTCCCCACTGCATATACAACTGAAAAATGAAAGGCAGCCTATTAAAGCAGTTCCTCTCTTTGAAGCATATCTGTGCCTGTTGTGGGTCTCCACAGCTGTGCTTTTGTCTATCTGACTCCCAATATTCACACTTGGAACCTGGTATTTGCAGGAGATGCTCCTCAGGATAACTTCACCAATGCTGTCACATTGTAGGGCAAAACTGGTGACTCTGGTCTCGCCCTTTCAAGCTGAGTCACTTGTGGTCTCAGCTACAAGATCCTGCCCTCAAGTAATAGACAAGAACTTACCCTCCAGCACAGGGTAGCTCCTCATAAAAAAATCCCAAGAGTTCTCTAAAAATCCTTCAAACACCTCGTCTCTCAAATGTATGTCTCAAAAAACTTGGCAACTGATGCCTTGGGGTCATGGTTATTATCCATCTTGCTGATGAGCACTCTTTTCCCATGTCTTACACTGTGTTACCTGTCTGCACTGATTCAAGTTTCAATGGCTCTTCCATCTTAAATTTGAATGGAACTGTTGCCCAGCTCTCATGTAATTAAGTGTTTTCATTATTTTCCCTCCACAAGCAGAGGAGAGTTCTGTCTGTATGGGCAAAGGCTTGGCTCTCATAGATGCTTGATATAGGCAATGTCAGCCAAAAAAATAATTAAATTCCTTGAGAGTTCTAAGTCATGAGTACTATGGCTGTTCTGCTTTGACTAAGCTCAGGTGGGTGGAAATCTTCAAAAACAATACAGTAGCTCAACATCTTCCTAATGATCTCCATGGAGGTCTCATCAGTGACACAACATGATGCCAAGGCTGAGCCCTTCTGGAAACAAAAACTTCTTAGGACTTGCATGTGCTGGCAGAATTAGCATTTGCATTTTTATTTCTTTCAAGTCTTTTGCTGGGAGCAGTTTATTAGTGCTGTGGATTCATGTTTTATCAGTACCTGGCATTCAAGTACAGCTGATCTTGCCTTGGAGTGCAAGCTGGATTATTTCTCAAGATTGATTTTTCATGGGCCCATGACATCTGTGTAGCAATTAAAGAAATAAATCAATCAGATGCTGACTACACATCTACTTGCTTAAATGTCTTTGAAGTGCTACAGCTTAATCAGAGCAAAACCACAACCTGAGGTAGGGGCTTGTGTGCTTTTGTTCATCTGGGGTACACAGCACCAAGCTGATACTTCCTCACACCCAGAAGTTGCTTTACTTTTATTGCACTAGTGTGAATTTGTACGGTAAGAAATGCTCAAACACACAGCTAATAAATTATAGCCTGTTACATCCCTGTGGACCAGTTCAGACCCAGTAACTGTGCCTGGGAACAATTATTTCTGTCAAATTCAAGATAACAGCACTTTGTTTTGAACTGCTTGTACTGACAACCTGCTATTTCCATCAAGCAGAGAGCACTTAGATGGTTACTACAGCCCAGCTAATTTAGGGGAATCTTGAATTTGATCACATAGCTATGGAGGAGATGGGCATATAGACCAGTGGAACAGAGTCCTCAGTTCAAAAAATTTCTAGCAGGATTATTTGGATTTTGGCTCACCTGTCTTGAAAGGAAGAGGGTGGAGTGGGTAAGGTGGCGCTGTTCCAGGAGCAATGCTTCCCTGCCTCATGGCATGGCCAGCTAGATTGCTGATGAACCCCAGCTGCAATATCTTCCAGCTGCCTGTTCAAAGGCAAACCGAAACCAACGCCAGTTCAGTCAGCCTTGCAGTGGGAGGAGATGGGCAGCTGGCCGTGGTTCCAGCAAATGTGATACTTATTCCTTTAATTATCATCTGGATTGTCATGCAACCCACCGCATTGCACCTGATTTCAAGAGCAAAATGCAACCCACCGTGTTGCACCTGATTTCAGGCAAATTTCAGACAGCGAGAGTGCTTGAATGCACACAGATTTGTCCACGCAGTTCAAGGGAGAAAGTTCCCAGAAATGGAGAGAGCCAGCTGCTGTCTGCAGTTACCTGATGGAAAGATACAGGGAAGATGAAATCAGACTTCTCTTGGAGATGGGTGGCACCAGGCCAACAATCAATGGACACTAGTGAAAACATGGAAAAGTCCATTTAGATAGCAGAAAAAGCATTTTTTAACTTGAAATTGAACAAATGCAAACCAGCTATCCCCAGTTAAATGTAAAACAATTTAAATGCTAGCCTTTGTTTTATTCAACAGTGTAATGCATGGAAAGGCAAAATTTATTATTATTTGTGTTTAAATAAAGACATTACACTCATTAGAGAACAGTGGCAATTCCAAGTGGACTTGTCACAACAGGAGTACTAACATGATTTACAAAGGACTCTGCAGTATCATCAGCAGTAGTAATACTACTGAAGTATTTCCATTTGGAGAAGCATTTTTAAGGGAGGGAAAAAAGAAAAAAGAAAAAAAAAAAAGAAGAAAAAAAGAAGCTTATTTTACTTACATTTCATGATTCCAGAAATGTTTTTTGGATAGAATCTTTCCCATCTAGTAGGTGTGAGGGCTTGAGGTTTTAAACTACTATGTGTGTCTTAGTGTCCAGAATGAATCCATAGAGAAAAAAAAACAACCATTAAGCTTCTTTTGTGTGAAGAGGTATATACATATATACCAATATATATATATATAGGTATATACCAATGCTTGTTATTATGACAATTTTTAATGTATTTTTAAATTGCTTTAGTTCTTTGTTTTTAGTTATGAAATCACACTAGAAATAGCCTTATATATGTAAGCTCCTGCTATTTGAAATTGAATTCATTTAGTAAAGTTTCTTTGACTGTCATCTATTTTGCAGACTGAGACGGGGCAGAAGCAATTTATTTCTGTAGATGAGAGTTTATTTCTGTAGGAAAGATGGCAACATGGCAGGGAATCAGTCCTTCCTCTGTTGATGTGAACTCTGAATTAAAACATAGTAGTACCAGCAGGTACAAACTGCTTGTGAAGGGACATGATGGCACAGAGCAACATCTACACAGAAGGAAAACATGCAACGTGACTTTAACATGTATTCCTGATCACCTGCAGGTGATCAGCCTTGGCTTTTTGGCTTGGTTCAGCTCATCCATGTCTTCCCCTTACTAGTTTTTAGACCTTGACAGTGTGTAGATATGTAGATCCAGGAACCAGGACTCTTTTTTTTTTTTTTTTTTTTCCCTCTTCAGATTTTTTTTGGCTGTAGTTATGTAGTTACAAGACCTGATTTCAGACTAGGCCTGCACAAGAAACTTCCTGCCATAGCTGTACCATTGAGAACGTGAAACAGGCTAGAGGCTAGTACACAGATGAAGACGTTGCCATATCTGCTAAATACTAGCAAAATGGTCTGTCAAAGAAGAAAACAGTTTGACAGAGGCACTGACATGGCCAAAATCTGTACCTCTGCAAAACTTTATCCCCTCCACTTGCTCAGCTGATGAGTGATGGTAAATGGGATTTGACTTGTAGAATCATAGAATGGTTTGAGTTGGAAGGAACCTCAAAGATCCTGTACTTTCAGTCCCCCTGCTGAGGCTTCCACTAGACCAGGTTATACTTCAGATAAGGAGTGAGTTAACTCAGAACACAGAATATCCTGAGTGAGAAGGGGCCCCCAAGCATCATCGAGGCCAGCTTCTGGCCCTGCACAGCACCACCCCCAAGAGTCACACCAAGTGTCCAAGAGCACTGTCCAAATGTTTCTTGAACTGTTTCAGGCTTGGTGCTGTGACCACTTGCCTGGGGAGCCTGTTCCAGTGCCCAGCCACCCTCTGGGTGAAGAACCCCTTTCTAATACCAACCTAAACCTCCCTGACACAACTTCAGGCCATTCCCTCAGGTCCTTCCTTCACCATCTTCATTGCTCCTCCTTTGGATGCTCTCTAACCACTTTATATCTTATACTGTGATATCCAAAACCGCCCCCAGCACTGGAGGTGAGCCTGCCCCAGCACAGATCAGAGCAAGACAATCCCCTCCCTTTCCCAGCTGCCCATGCTGTGCCTGATGCCCCCCAGGACAGGGTTGGTTCTCCTGGCTGCCCAGGCACTGCTGGCTCATGTTCAACTTGCCACTGACCAGGACCGCCAGGTCCCTTTCCGCAGTGCTGCTCTCCAGCCTCTCATCCCTCAAGGACAGCTGAAGCCAATTTGGCTGAATGTGCCTGACGTTGGCTGCAGCAGAGATCAGGGTGGGGAAGCGTTTTCCAGGAAGGAAATGTGTCTCTCCGCGTTTCCCCTCTGGCTGCTGGCGGAGCCGGCGGGACGCGCGGCTCCACGAGGGGGCTCTGCCCGCCCGGGCACGGGCAGCGCCCGCCTTTCCAGCGCGCCGCTCCCAAATCCCTGACTGTGGAAGCGCCTCGCACGTGGAAGGGTCTCTAAAGGAGTCCCGGTTTCAGGGTGTTAAACTGGTATAGTTGTAGGTATGAACAGGATAATCAGAATAGTTGTTCCCTCTGCGCTGCTTCCAGAGGAAGCAGCAAAGTACCGGGGGCATGAATGATAGCTACCACATGATCTGTGTCCAGGACACGTACAAATAAATGGTAGCAAGCAAATTATTTGTATGCCTTGTTCCTACTAAATTTCCCCCCAACCTGAGACACTCATAGCTGCAGTAATTTAAGAAAGCCTGGTACAGAGAAAGTTTTTGAAATCAATTAAGTAGAGAAATCCTACCATATAGGAGAAAAATATAATCTTTTTACACACAGCTGAACACAGTAAAGGGGAAGGAGCATTTAAGCAGCACACACTGGCCAAGATAGGACAGCTCAGTTTGACCTCTTTGTATATTTTAATACAACCTTCATTAACATTCTCAAAATAACTGTGTAATGGCAATCACAGAAGTATAAAGAAAATATATATTCCAGTTCAAGAAGAGATTTGTCCTCACAACGCATGAGAAAAATCAAGTGATGAGATCATTTAAATGCCGTTGTACATATTCCCTGGAACAATGCCCTGGCCAGATAGGTAACAGCAGCTGTCCAAGGCACAGCGCTTGACTGCTCACTGTTGTTCGTAGTTTACTAGGACTAAAAGAAATAGAGGTGTAAACAGCCAGAGCAACAGCGACATAGGGGGACAATGCACAGAAAGAGCAGTGACATCTTCAGCCGTCACCAGGGTCACTCTCCTGCTCCTGGCACTGGGCTCACGCAACCACCATGATGTCTTCCAGGGGCTTCCGTGTCAGCGCAGGCACGGTGGCATCTTTCTTGGGATAGCCGACGGGGAGCAGCAGCAGGAGCTTCTCATTTGCTGGCCGCTGGAGCAGGACCCGGAGCTGGGGGCCGCAGTTCAGGGGCGTGGAGGTCACTGTGTACAGCCCCGCGTTCTGCAGGACAGACAGCAGCAGTGAGACAGAGGTCCGTGCTCTTTATGTGTAGCAGTTGTTCCCACCATACCTGCACACACCCTTCTGTCAACTAGTCCAGAAAAGCTGCTTCGTTAGACCTGCTGCAGCCTTTAGAACACCTGATTTACTAGCAGCCTCAGTGGCACCATAAGGGATGCCTGCTCTGCTTACAGAGAGGTGGAGCTTTTCTCCACTGCAGCAGCACGATTGGAATGTCATCCCATGGTGCTAGTGGTTGGACTAGATGATCTTGAAACATCCATTCCAAACCAAAATATTCCATGATTCTATGATCTGGCTCATACAGAGAACTATTTCAGTTCTTGCCTCCATACAGCTGGCAGGAAGATGCCTTACAGCCTTGTGAACACTTGAGCTCCTCCTCAAGAGCTGTACCTCACAGGGAGAGGGGACACAGGCTCTGCCTCAGAAGTTATCACAGGAGTCTGTTGGCATCTCTCACGGTGGCCATTGTTATGGATTACATCAGAATCCCAAAATAAGTCTATGTATCACTCTTCCTCTCATTCAAAATCTCACAAAAACCCTAAAAAAGCTGGGCAAACAATAAAGAGATGACATCATCCAAGGTGTGATCACACAGCTGAGTCACTTCCTGAGGGCTGCACATGTGGATTTCAGTCTCTCTGTCTATGCAATGCAAGCATTTTGGGAGGATTTGAGATACAAGTCAGCCAGGGAGAGGTGCCCAGGAAATACACCTGTCACGTTAAGTAATCGCTACGATCTTCTCAAGAGGAGAAGAGCTAATAGTGATGGTGCTGAATGATGCCTGAGGAGCAGCAATGCATGAAAGTGTCATTCAAAACAGAAGGGAGGAGAAATGGCAGTGCCTGGTAGGAAACTGGCCTAATGTAAGAGGAGGCACCTTGCTGTTATCTTGCTGACAGGCCAGGTTAACTATCAGAATAGCTTCTCTATTTAACACTTGTGTGAGTACGTCAGGTACAAGAAGCAGAACTGAGCACTGAGAAACCGCTGAGAAAATCTAACTGGCTGGTGTCAAACATGCTGAGCTTTAGAGATCAGTGCACTTTCAGAAATGCCTCAGGAAGACTGAATGAAATAGTACAGAGTGTTCTGCGGAATATGTCCCTGATTTTTTTTTTCCAGCATTGTATACTAAAAGTGATTTGGTCTCAAGCTGTTTTATAGGGATTACTGAAAAGAAGGGGCCAGTGTGGCACCACACAGTCGTGCTTGGGTAGTCTGAAGAGCCTGTCAGCCCTGTTAGCATAAGGCAGAAACCACAGGGGCTGAAGCCTGTGCCGAGAAAAGAGTGACAACTCTGGAAGCTACATTATGTTTTTCTTCCTGTTAACCAGTACTGAGGATAAGAATCACCTTCTCCAATGTACACCTGTGTAGAATAACATTAAAAGTCAAAACTAAGACATATTGCCAGGACTTTGAGTAATCCAGGAGACAGAAAATGTTAAATCTAAACTGGGTTCCACCCTCTTTTGAGCAGAGCAGTCTTGGTAGGTAATCCAAATTAATATATGGACTCACAGTGTGTTGGTTCTGTCAACGTACCTGCAGTGCAGCAAGCAGGATACCACAGGCAATGGAAACACTGATTTCATTGTAGTAGTGGGTCTTCTTTTTGCCATTTGGAAGCCGCCCATATACCTGCTTGAAAATGAGGATCAGATACGGAGCAGTGTCCAAGTACTCTTTGATCCAATTTGTTCTGCAAAAGAATGTTTAAGACATTTATTTTGCAACCATTTCACTTTCCTCTAAGTTACATTTACTGTCTGCAAAGGGTCACTAAAGGTACATGACAGTTATAGCAGGAGACTAAACCTTAGAACATGTACTGCAGAGGATTAAGTGCTTAAATAGAAACATTTCAGAAAGAAAAAAAAGCTTGAATAGAGTTCTCACTTTTAACAGATTTGACTGAGGAGTTGATGTGCTCAATTGCATACAAATATGAGAGAGTTCTTGACCTCTTATCTATGAACTGGTCTCATGAGTATTTGCCTTTGTGATTATTTAATTCCTGGAATTTTGCAGATTTGCCTGTTACCAGCAGTGCCAACTTTTTTGTCATTGCAGGGAAGACTGCTGTCAGAAAAGTTCAAAACATTTTTGTCTAAAGTCTAAACCTAAATATATTCCAATGGTAAAATTTGTTGTTCTGTTCCTGGGTATTTCATCCCTGTTACAATTCATTTGGTTCCCAATTTCTTAAATTACAGTCATTATATGGGATTTAGACAAGAAAATGAGTGCTTTCTACTGTTGTTGCTCAAAACATAAGAACCTCTGGCATTTAGTTTTTGCATAGCGCATGCATTTGCATAGCACCTAAGCAACTGAAAAATAGTAACATAATCAAACAAGTAGGACAAGTCAACCCTACAAAGCTTTGTGCACATGCTCCATTTGACAAGCCAGGACTCAGTAGACATCTTCCCATTGTGTGAAGTTAAGCAAGTCAGTCAGACTTGGGAGGGCATTCGGAACAATTAAATATTGCATAATTCAGCACTTGGATAGGGACAGGCCTTGGGGCTTCCTCAGTTGGTAGCAAAGCTTCCAGTGACTTTGGGAGCTTGGCTGTTTGGCAAACAACAGAGAAAATCTGGGACAAGAGTTTCAGCCGCAGAGGTTACATAGGAAAAAATAATGATGGAGCCAAGTGCTTGGAAAACTTTCAAAATAGAGAGCATGTAATCCCTTTTACTGGAAGCAATTTTATGAACCAGCCACCAAGGCACAGTTCTACATATATTTAGAAGCTTTTGTTTCCAAACACAGATTTTAGAAAAACATTAAAAGTGAGAGGAAGGAAGAAACAGAAAATTATAGAAGTCTTTCCTACACTGAAACAACAGCTATCTTCACACCCCTTAGCAAATTGACTTTTCATACCTCAATCTTTTCAGGTCATTAACCCATCTGTCTCCCATCCTTTTTTTATAGTTGATTTCCTCTTCTTCTTCTACAATTTCACGAATCTTATGTTTTAAATATGGATCTTGCACTACCACAAAGGTCCAGGGCTCAGTGTGTGCTCCACTAGGTGAAGTACCTTCATACAAAAACAGGGAAAAATAAAAACCCAGGAAGGAGGGTGGGCAGCGAGAGGTATCAGCTCTTCCTTGTGAGCTTTTAGGCTGACCAGCTGAGCAATGGGAAAGCAAATGGATAAGATGGGAAGAAAAGGACTAAGTTCTGGCAGACAATCCTGTTCATTTCTTTATCAAAGAACGTGAAATCCCATTGAAGAACAGAGATGAGTCCTTTCATACTGCCATCTTACAGGAAGCCAGTGTTAAGGATTTGTAAAAAATTCCTTTTTTTTGTTGGCAGTAATATGTTGCCATATATATGAATGCAGTAATGCTATTACAAAGCGTTGTACCAAAAGCAGAGCTCTGTCTGAATACACAGCCAACTCTGACACGTGGTTTTAGCTAAAGGGTGAAAACAATGGCTTTCAGGAAAACAAGGCTGAATGACTACCAGAAGGGACCTGTTGCTGACTGACAAAGATAAATAAGGAGCTGTACAATACAGACATCTGCCGTAGAGCATACAGGTTTGAGTATGTTGTCCCAAAGATAGCTGGTATTCATAGGTGCAGACATAAATGTGATATATATTATATATATATATTAAATCTGTATGTACTCACCTACCAACACCACTGGAGAAATATTTTAACTGCCTAGAGATTAAAAACCAGAAGGTGAAGAATTTATATCTGCACAGGTTCACAGATATATAGATTAAGACTGTTTAGATCTCTCTGGTCCCTCATACATATTTAAAAGTATTTTAAGAACTTGAATGCATACAATACTAAGGACTGGTTTTAGTTCAAGAAACATTGAATAAGCAACTTGGACTCTCTTGATATAGGAAAATGTTTTTATGTTGTGAACCTTGCCCCTCTTCAGGTTTGGGTAAAAACTGATGGCATTCATGCTTCCTTTTGTTTTCTTCTCTACACAGCCCAAAGCTTTCAGGGTTACTAAGTACTTCATCTGCACGCCAGGCTTGTTTGCTTTGCTGCATTTGCCAAAACATGCTCAGTGTTTTAATGATGCCTAGTTAATTAGAAGGAGATGGAGACTCTTTACAGTGCAGTAACAAAGCTGCTTACAGTTCTTAAAGGGGAAATAATGCACTTCAAATGTGGAGATTCTTTACATTATTAACCCTGCTAAAGGCTGCTGAACTTTTCTCTAAGGCAGCTTGGGAATATTTTCTATAGTAGCAGCAGCTGGCTCATAGAATAAGAGAAATCATGAGGATCAAAACCACTCCTGGCTGAAGTCGGTGTTAGTAAGGCAGAGATGAGATTAAGCCAGGACATGACAGTAATGAGTTGAAACACATAAATTCTCTAATAACCTCTATTAGGGTCCTCAGCATAACACTCCAATCATATGCAACAGGGATCTGGCGCTACTGTTGGAAGGACTAGAAAGGGTTTTTTGTTCTAGACTGAGATTCTTTCCCTTTATTAAGGGCCAACCATTTATGTCAAGATATGTTCAATACGTATGAAATATTTTGCATGGCTGAGAGAATTTAATCTCTTTGTTTATGGGGGGACCCCAAAATGCAAACCCCACACATGATAAATATAATAATGCATTAAATTTTAGAGCATGTAAAGTACATATGGCTTGACATTTTCGAGAAAACACTTCAATATTTCTATTTGAAAGATGTCTTGATAAACCACACATGAATTTAATTTTAAATAACATATTTTAAAAGTTGAAAATTAAGTTATTTGTTTCATGCTGTTGAAATGCTCTTCTTCCCTGCTGGGTGAACTGCAAATACAGACAAATTGGGAGTACTCCAAAACAGTCTCTGACAAGAAGTTGTTCAAGCTGAGTAATTTCCAGTCAATCAATGGGTGCTCATTCATTCCAGCTACAGGTGAATCTGGGAAAACCATAAGCAAAATTCCAGTTCCTTTGGCTTTTCCACACCACCTTTTCGCAGTTAGACAGTTGAACAGCAATGCTGATCCTTTTTTTTTCCCCCAGACCTTGAACCACTCAGTACCCACCTGCTGTTCTGATGACATTATCAATAACCTCCCTGGGGACTGGCTCATCACTGAGAAACCTGACAGATCGCCTCTTGTTTAGAAGCTCATAGAATGTCTGCGACCTCTTAATCATTTCAGCCTCAGAGTAGCGCTCGCCAATGAAGGGGACATGGGCAACATTTTCTTCAAGTCCTTGCCACTCTTCCTCACCCTCTGCAAGAAAATACAAGCGGTTAGGGATTTCTTTTTTTTTTTCCGGAGAATGCTGTTGACATCCTTGGCATTCCACTGTAAGGCACCTTGTCCTGCACTGGCATACACTGCACTTCTACACCACTGGTAAGGCAAAGTCTGAAGCTCCAGTTGACACAACTCATTGATCCCCAGCTCCAGCTACTGAATAAACACCTTGTTTAAATACCAAGAGGCAGGAGGGTCCTGGCCTGCTCTAGCAGTTGATCCACAGAGAAGTCATTGCCTTCTCCACTTCAGCCTGCAAGCCTGCCTGCAAAAATAGGTTACAAGCTGAAACAGCATTGAAAAAGTGGACAGACTTCCAGCCCAATTTTCTCAGCAAGTAAATGTGAACATGTGTGTTCCTTCTTGAGCTGTTTAATAAGGAAAAAAATCAATTAAATTATTGAAGTTAAGGAGAGAGCTTAACTAGCAATATGTGTAAAATCTCCTCTGAGGAGCTGAATGTCAACTTCTTCCATATTCATGTTTCATAGCAGAAACTTTGCAAGCTTTGGCTTTGCAGAAATGTGACTTTGTGATTAAGCTCTTTGGTTTCCCAATACTTTCAGCATAAGAGGAAATGGATGTTAGGCATCTATATTTAGGATAACAACATATCAAATGTAGGATATTGTGTTTCTTGGCTTTAATTTAAAAACTCAAAATGATTCTCCATTTCTCTGAAATCTGTCTGTGTATATCACAAAATGAATCTTCTGTTGTCTCTGAGGTCTCTTTCTCCCCCATATTCCTAGAATTAGCATGGATAGCATTTTTTGCAGCTATGATCTGGAAGTTAAAGCCGCTTAAATGCTACATTTTGACTAGTCAATAGTATTGAGCAATCTGCTACAGAGAGCTGAGTCAGGAAAAAATATTCCAGTTCTTTTTCTGTTGCTATTAGGCTATTATTCCCAAATCATAGCAATCTCCAGCACAAATTCAAACAGCAATTACTTCTATGTTTTAGTATTATGCAGTTGCCTTAGAGACTAGGCTGGTTTTTTGTTCATTTTAAAAGCAGCAAAATATTCACGTGTGGCTCAGCCTGTGCAAAGGGGCAAAATAAATCCAGTTTCATAAATTGAATGTAAACTGAATGGTTCTGGACCCCAAACCACACACATTTCATTTCGTGTACAAAGAATTCACCCTGAGAATTTGTTTTGCTCAGCATTTCATTCCTGTGTTAAGCACTCTTGGTCATAGTCTGCAAGGACCTGGCACCAGGTTAATGGAAAGCAGTGAGCCCTGGTAAAAATTATTTTAGTGATCATCTTGTGCACGCTCAAAAAGTAAAAGGGTGCCTCTTGATAATGTTCCCTTTGTGATTTACACTTGGTAAAATAGTGAGTGCTTGCTTGTTTTGTGTTGTGGTGGGGGTTTCCCATGTAAGTAGAAGAGAAGTTGCTGTTTGCTCAAGATAGTTCAACTTAATAATAAGGTGAAAAAAGAAATGTACTTTCAAAGATTTTGAACATGGGAAAAAGGTGAGATAGCCAATGAGAATGGAAAACCTCAATACACTCAACATGGGAATACTGACTGAAGCAGAAAAACCTAGAAGTGCAGGAACTGACACACAAAACCAAACCCTCCTGGCAAATTAATTTTTTAAAAATAAATTAATCTATTATATATTCTCTTCCACCATGTGTCTACCCTTCTTTCTTAGCAGTTAACATTATCCATATGCTAACTTTAAATCATTATCAGCACCATCTGTTTAGTGCATGCTCTCTATATCTCTAATTGCTGTGTTTAGACACACTCCTGTTTGTACAGTCACGTCATACAATGCCACAAGTGTCTTGTTTATATCTCTTTGTATTCCACCACTTGATGGTGGAATACACCACCACAGACATCCTGCTACAAGTCTATTACCTTGTTAGCCACATTCTCACAATTGCCATCAATTCCATCAATTGCCATTTACAGTAGTCATCAAGCTTCCTGCTTTTTAAGTAAATGTGGAATGGTTTTGGCTCAGACATCCCAAATGGAATGTCATTTTAAAAGTACATTTTTCTATCTCTATCAAAAATTCCTCTCTGGATACATTTTAGGATGATAACTATGTTATTCCCAGCATGGGAGGAGTCCATATGGGAGGTTATAATCAGCCTGCAAATAGTGTAAAAAATTTTACCTCAGTTTGAAGCATGAGTTCTTAATTAAAAACTCATACTGAGAACAGTAAGTTGTCATTTCACTTCTGTTGGCCACTTACTTTATCTACACTGACACTTCTCTGTGTTGGTGACTTCCAGTTGTATGTCATTAAGATATTTCACTTTTACTCTCCTTGGTTTTATGCAAAGACCACTAGATAATATTAGCAATTGATCCTGAGACTGATCCTTGAGAAACTCCAGTCAAGACTACTGCATTTGCTTTCCAAACAAGTTTCTTCTCTAGAAAATTGCTTCCTGAGCATACAATTCCTCTCTAACTCTCTTTTCCAGTTTAAAGACATGATACATAGGAAAAAAACTTCAATGTATGTAAAGAAAGTTTTCACATCTTTAGTCTTAAATGCTGGGTAACTGACCCTGTGGGTTCTTTATCTGATTAATGGCAGACTGCTGCAAAATGGGCCACCACAGGAATCCCAGTAGTGAATCCAGCCCTGAAGTGAGTGTGACTAATAGGGAACTAAAAGAGATGGATTACCCTACTAGTGGGTTATAAATAGTGGTTAGCAGGCTGATCCTGGAAACCTCAAGAGTGGGTCAGGGATCTTAAGCAAAAGAAGTAGCAGGTTGGAGAGGCACAGACCCTGGAAAAAATAACCCAGCATCAAAGTATTGTGAAAATTATTTCAACTGGAATATAGTTGCAGGTTTCTTACAATCTTAAGATAGAGTGGCTGTTATATAAAGAGAAAACCTAGTATAAAAAAGGCTGAGAGCTAATCTGGTTGCAATCCATAAACCACAGGAGAGGGGTTTATGCCAGGGCTGGAAGAGAATCCTTTGAAATCAAGAGGATGGAACAGATTGAATACGTAAACAGTAGTATTAAACAAGGCAGAAATTGGGCAGGCAGAAAGTGTCTGAAAGGTAGAGGAGGGGTTTTAACCTATACTAAGAAATTCTGGACTAGCTTTTCAGCAAGGTTAAAGAAAAGGAGTCACAAAAGTCCAGTTTCCATGTTCATTCAGCTGATGACAAAGGCTAGATGTATTTGCAGCAGCAGGAAGATACACACAGTAATGTATTGTGGCCAAGTCCTCTGTTCCTAAATGATACAAAACATGAACTGTCATTGAAAAGGAGCTTTAAATTGCCACTGCCTCATCCATGTCAGTAGTAGTATTATTAAGATATGGGGAGTCTTTGAAACTGGGGAGAGGAGAAGTGCTTTTAAGTGGGACAGGTCTATTACAAGGAGAATCACAAGCAACTAGCAGTGCATTTTCAGGAGAAATGGAACGTTTGGGACTTTGTGTGTTGTTTTGTACTCCTTAAGTAGAGTGTATCATCAGTGTTCTTGCCAATCCACAGCACAGCAATCTCTCATGCTAGATCTTATAAATGAAGGAAAAAAGTTACAGGACAGATGGGCATGCAAACAAATCTGAAGTACTGCCAGTTAAAGCATTAAACAAATGGACTGAGTGCTTTGCACTTAAAAGAACTGGGTTTCTGGCTGCTACGAGAAACATCCATCTCTTCAGCTGTGGAAAGCACAACACAGACAAGCTCAGGAGCACTTGGCCCTCACCACTCTACCCTTCACTGCCAATAAGTGGCCCTACTGAGTCTGCCCAAGCAGTTCGGCTACTTACACTGGATGCTCTGCTGCTCAAAGGCATGTCCTTCTCATGGGGAACATCCCCCAGGGCTCCACTGCAGGGAAGGCTCGTGGGGCTACAGGTGAGGTCAGTGTTTTTCTGCTTTTCTAGCTGAGTGCTTCACTCTCTCAGCAAATAGACCTTGCTTTGTTCAGGGACGTGAATCAAAAGTCTTGGTCTTCAGCTGCCCCTTCCTGTTCAGGCGGCTGCTGAAAATTCAGCTTGTTCACATGGGGCAGCCCTAGATTCTAGCTTTAGACAAGGCCTTAAGAATGTCACCTTCATGTTACCTAACTCAGATTCTCTTCAGAGGAACTTAATCTTTAAACCAGCCAAAGACATTTAAGTAGACCTGAGCTTGTCTGATAAAGTAAGATACATTAATAAAATAACATAATTTACATAGCAGGTAAAGTATTCTTTACTATTAAAAAAATCTCTTTTTACATCCGTGTTTGCATCTCAGCATCTAGTGCAGTCAGTGAAAACTTTAACACTGACAACAAGGCTAATGATGTTTTGATCCTTAATTAAGGCTCTAGCAAAGTAGCAGATCCTCACTAACTCTTTTTCTTCTCCTTGCTACTCTTCTCATTTAGGCTGGGCTGAAGACAAATTTCCCTATGAATGATGAAATTATTTTAGTATTTCTAGAGATAAAGGACATGACTATTTTACAAAGAAATTGGTTTGAATCACACACCACTAAGGGAAAGATCATTATTTGTTACTAAAATAAAAATAGCAAGAAAATTTAATATTGGATGACATAGTATATTGAGAAAGATTTTATTTAAAAGTAAATAAAACTTAGTAAGTGAATAAAACTTACCAACAGTACCAACATGTTTACCTGTCAAAAATTTTTTGAAAGCAATTTTTTTTGCAACAAAAACTAGTGCAGTGTTGAATTTAGTACCTGAATAACAGGGAAAGCAACTAACAAATAAAATAATAAAATTTTATATATGGAGCTGTGGCAGTGAGGCTCCTTGATAAAAGCTAATAGGTTTGTTTATGCAAAGGATCTAAATTTTTTAACTGATAGAAACAGCTATAGTCCAAGATTCATAGATTATCATTTGAACTACCCACAGGAATTCTAATTTGCAGCAATTTAACTGAAGTAGTAAGCCATTAGTGACAAAGAAATTATGGAATTATTCTATACAGAATCTATTTTACATTGAACAAAGGAGGATACAACAGGTGAACTGATATGTAAAGAAATATTAAATATTTGGAATATAGTCAACAGGGTTTAAATCTTTCTTGGTATCAACTCTTTTCAGAAACTGATAAACAACAATAGCTCAAAGTACACTGAACACTGAGAAAAGACCTATAATAGTTCTTAGAAATAGGTCCATATGCAGAAGAACACTACGTTTTAAGATTCCTAGAAGCAGACTGAGGGAAGTGTTATTATGGGGAAAACAATTAACCCAGACAGACCCCTCAAAAAGTCTTTGAAACAAACTTGAGGGGAAAAAAAGGGAGAAACAAAGAAGCTGCATTAACCACAACTTTAAGAAATTAATAGGAACAGAACATGGTAGATTTTTATTTCATAAAGAAATAAAGTGAGTTTATGGAGGATAGTTAGGAAGGAAGAAAAAGGAAGGGTACATTTTTAGCTTAGACTTTTGTCCAAGCTGTGAATCAGAAAAAGCTAATGAAAATAAAGGGCATACTGTATGGGTCCAAATATGCAGCTGAGTGACCAGATTATCACCACCAAGACATTTTGTTCTTAAATATTTGATCAACACAGCTCCCAACAAAGCTCTCATTGACATTCTCAGAAGCCACAAATGGAGGTCCTTTGTAAAAACAGTAATAAACCAATTTCCAGCTTTTTAGCTGTGCTGAGACCAAGCACGTAGCACTGAGTGATAAAGTGGTTTGATTTGCAGGTAGAAACACTCTGCTCAGGTCTTCCTTTTGCTCACTCTAATAAGGTCTGGGAAGAGACTGTGGGGAATTCAGCAAGACCTCCTCTCTTTCCTTACACTGTCCACAGAGTCCCTCCTAGGTCTGAGATCTGCTGTACAGAGGAACAGACAGGAGTCTCTGAGAATACATTTTATATATATATTTATTTTGCACTCTGATTTTTGGGGTCTGGAGGGAATAGAAATTGACACCAGGAGTGACATGACATGAGGACTGCCTCCTGCCTGGGAGCTGACAAGCTCAGGGCACAGCAGCAGCATTGCACTGAGCATTACTGTCATGTGGAGAAGTCCAGAAGATTGCACCTCCTTTATTCATATCAGCAGATAAAATTCAAACAACAAAAGTGTTTGGGGTAAGATTTTTCTTACCTTCTTCTTCTAAGGGATGGTCAGTGCCATCTTTTAAATCTTCATCCACCCACGGGCGAGATGGATGCTTGCTTTTAGTGTCACGTTTTTCCTTCTCTCCATTCGTCTTCTTCATTATTACCCCAATCAAAACACATATAATGGCTATAAATACTGGTGTGAGGGAAGAAAAGAGTGCCATGACTACAGAAATGTGGAGCCTTTCTTCCACATTCAGTAGTTTCTCATGAAAAGGAGAGGGTGAAGAGGGAAGAGCAGCAAAGCAGTAAGCAAAAAGGGGTGGACTCAAGGTTCAGTCCTCCACCCTATCTTACTTCTGCTTTTCAGACACCGCCCCCACAATCTCATCTGTGATGGACTCCTGCTGTTAATAAATAGCTTCTGCAGTTTAAAAAACCTCCAAACCCAGGTTTACATATTTTCTGAGAAGAAACATCTTACAAACAGCAAGCAGCGGCACTGACCGTACCCATAAATGCTGTCGAGGGCAAAATAAATTTAAAAACCCCAAGGTCTTTTCAAACTCCAGACTAAGGCAAAAGACTTCTCCCCTCTTATTTTTATTGTTACGGTCATCCCAGTAATCTTCCTTGTAACAGTGATTATGAGAAAAGCCAAGTGGGAATATGACTTTTAAAAACTAATGGCACCTCTTCAATGTTTAACTCATAAAATTAACATTTTACATGCATCCCAGGAATTCAGAATATCACCAATTGCAAATCAGTTTGCAGCACCACCCTCAGCTATGTCAACAAGTCAACAGAACAGATAAGTAAAGGGGCAGCATTGCCTCTGTATAAAGCATGAGTGAGACAATTCACAGAGCCCTATATTCATCCTGGCTGTTCTGGGGGAACTGACAGGAAGAATTCAAGGAATCAAAGTAAAAAATATGTGAGGGCTGCAGTGAATTTAAAAGACATGTTTCAGCATGTTACGGAAGATTAAAAACCGATAGGATCCTGGTATAATCCAATAATGATCAATGTCTAAATGCTTAACCCATTTTTACCTCAGCCAGCTGCTTGGGAGCTGAACCAACACAGCAACACTGATTTGCTGTCTTTGTCTGGGGCTGTTGGAACATACTGGATAATGAAATGTCAGATGGCAGTGGGTGCTGAGGGCTTTGCTGGAGAGCAGGGTGCAGGATGGCTCTCTGCATGCAGTCACCAGTGTACATCAGCTCTCCTTAGCACCTGCTAAGCACCATCCCGGCCAAGCCTTGTCTCATGCCATACAGGGCCATTTCTGACGTCCCAGCATCCGTGGCAAGATATCACATGTTGAATAAGTCCCCCCAAGATAAGTGGGAGCAGTTGTGAGTGTAGCCATACCAGGAGATGGTGAGTCCTAGCTGGCACCTGCAGGGGGTCATTGCAGTCCCCTTTCCTCAACATGAAAACCAGGACACAAAGGGGAGAGAGAATGTGGGGTATGCACAGGTCCCATCCTGACAGGCTCTCGGTCCATAACCTAGCACTCATCCCTCTCACCTCACCAGTTTTGCAGCACTGGGCACACCCTCACTGGTCACATTTGCCACTGTCACTCCTAGGGCTCCCTACTGTCCAATGCTCCAACAGATACTGCCAGTTGCCTTGAGGATTGGTCTGTGTGTTGGGAAGCACAGATTAGTGACCAGGTTGCTGTACAAAAAGGGGAATGTGTGACCACACTGGTTGGCCACACAACGGTAGTCTGGCTGACAGTCCAGACCTGTATCCTCTTTTAATTCAAGCTCCTTGTGTTAAAAGGGCACTGTCAAGCAAATTGCACAGCTGTGCACATATTGTCCAGACATGCTTAGAGGCAAAATGAAACTGCCTCAAAGGTTGTACCCAGGCTGGGCTTTCTCAGCTGCTCAGCCCAGATACAGAATAAATACTTCTCTGCTGTTGCACTGCATCCTACCCCAACAAAAACCCCCAGTTCCTGTAGGTACCAGTCCTTACAGGCAGTATTTGGGATCTGTGTAAGAAGGGTGGCCCCAGCACCAGCCAAGGAACTGCACAAATCCATCAGAGATTTAATAAAGAGGACATGAGAAAGTTGTATTTAGGTTCCTAATTTAATCTAATTCAGTAAAGTTGGCAATAAACTTCCATCTACCTCTGGCTAAGAGGACAATTTTCTTGAAAATCCAAGCCATGAATCTTGTATTTCCTACTCTCTTGTCAATTTGTGACCTGAGACATGTGCTTGGATCATTGATTTGGGCTGCATGTAAAAAAGCCCCAAAACCAGTACTCTCTATAGGTATGGAAACAATTATCATCAGGGGAAAAAAGAAAATATGTAAATTTATCCACTCTCTCCTTGATTTAGAGTAGATATTTGAACTCATTTGTCCCACCTGCTGGCTGTCCAGTCATGGGGAGAGGTACTTTACCTAATCCCAATTAGAAACATTAAATTAATTCATGAGAATAGAGGAGGAACCTGAAATTTCATCAGACACATTTTCAACAGACTACTCTGTGGCAAGGGAGGAAAACAGAATGTGGTCTGAATGGCACTGACTGTTTCTCCCACAGGGAATGTATTAACCTTGGTTATTCACATACACGTAAATTAGGATCTGGATGCTCTACAGCTGAGACTCCATCCTATGAAGAGACAGGTCTGTGCTGAGTGAGAAGCAATACAGAAGGGTGAATTATATTGTTTAAAATAAATACCTCTATTTGCAATGCTGGAAACTTTGTAATAGCTCACTGTTACAGAATAACTTCAATTTCCTTAGAGGCGATATTAATTTTTCTTTTGTAGAACAGAGAAGGAAAGGGAGGAAAGGAAAGGAAAGGAAAGGAAAGGAAAGGAAAGGAAAGGAAAGGAAAGGAAAGGAAAGGAAAGGAAAGGAAAGGAAAGGAAAGGAAAGGAAGTTAAATAAAAGTCACTTTGGTATTAACTTAAGCAGAATCTATTGAAAATTGAAACATATTGAAAATTGTTAGGTTGCACTTCAAGCCCACAGAAACCCCAGCTTACCTCATTTAATTAAAACCTGAATTAGTTTAAATAACTCTATATTGTAGACACTTAAAACAGAAACATGGTGATGTCATGAGGAACTGTGGGAAAGGGTGGGGGGAAGCAGTTAATTTTTGTACAGTATCTTTCAATCAGTTTTTCTGTTAATTTTTTTTCAATCCAAGCTTTATAGAAATGTGATGAATATTATGGCAAATTCAAGAAAATTTATAACAATTATTTCTTCTGCTCTACAGTAAACCCTAAAAACTAGCAGCTGAATTTTTAGGTTTTTTTTGAGTCTCAAAAAAGTCAGGAGAAACTTTACAAATAATCCTACTCCTAGAAATTAATGGAGCTTTTCTGACAAACATGGAAAGAAGTTAGAAAATGTTGATAGAAATACAACTTTGCGAACAGCAAAGTACTTGACTATTATCACAAGAAAACATATAAACACTCCTAAAAAGTAGACCTAAAAAGACCATCATGCTAAAAGTTTCTGGTCCCAAAATACTTTCATATTTCCCATTAAATTCTGTGGATAGCTGTTGTCCTTCTGAAGGAAAAAGAAAAAAGTACTCTAGTACCAAATATAGCCCTTTATTTTTTTTCCTCAAAAAGTTGTGATGAGCAAATGCCATTAGTGGGTGGACCCCTGGTGGGATCACACAAGGATCACCCATGGGCACGAAACTGTCACGTGGTGGGCACATGCACCATTGTAGGCTGCAAGGACACTTGAAGGCAACAAATGACACCTGCTCATCACACATTTTTACTTTGAGAAGTCTCTTTATTGGAGAACTCCTAGGGCTCCTTATTTGCTATAGAAAATTAGTAAGATCTAGACATTCAAAAAGGGATCCAACACATCTATTAGAATTGTTTAAATATCAAAGGCAAACTATGGTAGTTAAAACACCTAATTTAGAAAATCTCTGAGACTTAGGAAGGCAGAACCATTTCATGCCATCCTTAGCCTTCTTGTTTTTCCCAATCATCTGCCTTTGGCCACAGGCTATAGCACTTGATGTCCTCACATGATTAGGATTTGGTATGAGAAGTTGCTGTGGTGTAGGAATAGAATTACATAATTTAGTGCTCCCACTAAAATGAAAACCACTACCAACTCCTGTCCTCCCCGTGCCTTCAGTGAGACAGACAAGGGCAGGTATCCTTAGCTGAGATAATAAAAATTTACTGGAAACAGCCATGAGATAGAAAACAATGTTTCCTTCTTGCCTGTTGGTGGGATCACAGTTGGTGTTTTGCTGGTTTTTGACCATGTCCATGAGAATGTGACAATGTTCTTCTTGCCATTTTACTCAAAAAACCTGAATTTCCTGGGCAGGTCCTTTAACCTTACTTTGTTTTAAGGTAGAACCAGCCTTCAGGAGGATCAGGGTTATCTTCTCCCCTTTCTCAAAAACTTCCTCTGCCATGTTGCTTCATACAATGGTGTCATCAAAGAACTGCAGGTGTTCTGGAGCCTCACTGTTTTCCAGTGCAGTTGGATCAGTCCATGGCAGATGGTAGGACTGTGCTTCCACCCCTGGGGGAGTCAATTCCAGGTGTGCTGCACTCCCATCCAGGTGAAATCAAACTGAGGCCTGCATTCTGCTGCCAGAGGAGTGGAGAAAAACACATTGGCAGGTTCAACAAGCCACATCATCCTCCTTGGAAGGGAGAACCCCTTATTTCTGCTTCCCCCTGATGAAGTGCATGGTATAGAGTAACAACCTAGGCACACCCACACAGCTCCAGGCTCTGCCATCTCGTGGCTGCAGCTAAAAATTAAATGTCTTTGGCTGAAACTAGGACAGAAGTCTTACTGTAGTAAAAAGCAGATATGTGTTAAAGAGAACAGTAGTAGAAATAGAAGAATGCTTACAGTGAACATACAGAAGTGCAGAGTAAGATGAAGGAGGTACTTGCAATAAATACAGCACGAGTCTGAGAGAAAACATGGTTTTGGGTGCTGGCTATAATTCCCATTGCAAGTACCCTTTGCTGACAGTTATCAGTTACATACCTACAAGGAACACAAAGCCCCTGTTTGGACCCTCAGGTGATATACCAGTATGAGGTGATGAAAGGGTCCACAAAAGAATCTGTGTTTATAGCTAGAAGCAAGAAAAAATCACCACTGAGTATCATCTAGAGATGCAATAAAATACTACATTTGCTTCAGAAGTGAGTTTC